GATCCACTTGAAGGATTTATTCTCCACTTGGTTTACCTTGTTCATTGCTTCCGCCAATATACATGAGCAGCTTCCTCATTAGCTCTCCTGTTACTTGGTCGAAGGTTCGCCCCTCAGAGGAAACAGCAGCAAACTTAGCAGCATCATACCGTCGCACCTCAAAGCTGACTCCATCCTAGGGAAGAAAAAGGAAATTGGAGGACGTCTTAAGGCATCGGCAGGCCAGTCACTGCTGCACGAATGCAGACCTCCTGTTCTGTACACACACACGCAAACACCACTGTTCTCATCCTGGGGATGGGAGCAGCAGAGGTCAAGCCCAGATATGATTCACCTCTGACACACTGATGCTGACAATCTGCTTCTAAGGACAGAAGCCCTGAACTAGCGAGATTTACACACAGAGAGTTCAGTGTCTGTGTGTGTGAGACCAAAGTGGGCACATACAGATGAAACATATTTATACTGATTTGATTTAATTTCTTCTTCTGCTCTGCAGGGCTCCGTCGGCTTACATAGAATAATGGGGAAGAGAGACACAGTCTTACATAACAGAGCACATGCAAAAAGAAAACACACACACTGCGCGCTCTCTTTCACAGCGTTAATATGATGCAACAGTTTTACATTAAATATGATTAAGTGGGGTTAACGTGGAGCACGGTCACTCAGCCATGCTGCGGAGCAGGAATTTGGATGGGTTTTGATGGAGTGATGCAGGTTTCAAAAGCAGCTTTTCACTCACTGACACGGTCACACTGTGCACATGCTTCTGCGTTTGTAAGATTAGGTTCGTGCACTGAAATTTAACTGCATTATATCGTTGTCATCCACTTCTTTTGAATAATATGCAGTGACTTCAACCTGCTGGCCTCTGTGAAATATGTCGTTTATTTTGCAGATAAGGTGTTTATCTCAACGTGATAACAGCGACAAAGAAAAGCAACAATGGAAACAGGCTCGGGGCACAGTTTCCACTGCACAGTCTCAGTCCTATGTGGGCTTCTTGAGCATGTTTTCACTACCCTGGAGGGAGATTCAAATCTAAAAATATCATGCAAATATCTTCATCTTTCAAATTGAATTAGTGATTCTTTGTCTACTATCAAATCCCCAGATGCTAAAAAACATTTCCTTTTGCTTTACCTTTGTAACCAACACCTTTTCATCCTCATAATCTTATTTAAAACCCACAGAGGACCTGAAATCCTCTGGAGTGGCCTTATGAGGACCCTATAGCCATATTTATTCCTCTACACATGCAAGATAACGCTGAGTTACTGTGAAACTTTAACTTGTGACGAGTACCCGGGCTCCTGCATAGTAATTACAGGGTTTTTGCCCTGTATAGCTTGTCAGTGGGACCGCCATTAATGTTGCATATGGGTGACACACAAAGAAAGCAGAGCCTGACTTCAGTTAAGTAGTGCAATTAATTTGTCTGTCATGCATCTCTTTTTGTGTGCATGTGTGTGTTTACCGGCTGTCTGATGCCAGCTTATACAGTGATAATTATTCAGCGCCTGAACCGAGCACACTGAAGTTATTATCAGCACTGACTGCTAAAGTGCCCGTCAGTTCATCTTAGTTTGAAACAATACTCTATGTTCTGCTGTGTGTGTGTGCGCTTGTCTGTATTCTGTGTCAGAATTAATTAAGCGTGTTGGGTGTCAGAGTCACACAGGTGCTCCACAGATCATGTGACAAGCTCTGATTTCAGCACCTGCTTTTTAAACATCAATCAAGTACAGAGATTTAATGAGCCTCCAGATTGTTTTCTAAGTGTAGTGATACACTGAACATTGGACAGTTAATACAAATGATCACTCACTAGCAAGAATCCTGTATTTCTGACAGGTCTCCATTAAAATAAGGTTGTAATTCAAGATTAAATGTTAGTGGAAGTGCTTCCAATCTAAAAAAACAAACAAACTGTTATGTGTGCACATACTGCTGGCTTCAACTGTCTGTTTTTGAGTTTCTGATTCTGACAACAGATGTAAAGTATGCTGTCAGAACAGATCTGACTCTGCTTGTGTCCGTTTGGGTCATTTAATTCCCTGCCTGTCTGGTCAGTTGGGCTGGAAATCCTGTTTGTCCGCCTGTCTTTGTCTTTCTCCCAAAAGTTAGCTGCTATTTAGGAGATGAACACACAAAGATACTTTTAAAACATGCGCGTCAAGACCAATAGTAGATGACTGCATGCACATTTATAGCGGTGGGCACACAGAGCCTGAGAGAATAACCTTGAAACAGCCGCGAGGCCTTAGTTATTAACACATCAGTGAGTTTGCGGTTATTTTTCCATGGTGTGGTTACAGTAAACATAAAAACAAACACATTATGCATGGTGGAGCTGAGTCTTTGTTACTCTCCTCAGCAGGGATGGCTGGTGTATCAGAGAACCTACAATCCGTATCAGAGTTCATACAGGTCTGATCAGCATCCTCTTCCACCCCAGCGACAGTTACTGTGTCTTTATATACACACACACACACACACACACGCGCGCGCGCATCCAGAGTGCCATATTGGAAAGAAACAGTGAGCCACACCGAACATGAACCCTCAGTCTTTCCGATTTTAGTCCCCTGTGAATGTTCTTGTTTTAAGATTATGCGTCACCATCTTCAATTATTTCTGCCTTGTTGGTTGGAGGAGAACCTGGGGCTGGTTTACACTTTACCCCCCACGCTGTGGATCAGCATGCATCCTCATAGGTCACTGTCAGGCTGTTTGGCCTGCAGCAGCAGGCTAATCACCGTGTTAATTTTAAACGAAAGTCTAATAACACGACCTGCACAGAATTAAGTAAAAGGTGAAATATTCATGGAACCAGAGGAGGGAAACTCGCACATTTATAATCTGACAGAATCGCTGTGCGTAATCGTAACTGTACACGCGCGTAAAGCCAAGGATAAAGACTCAGAAGAAGGAAATCGCAGGAGCAAAGCATGTGAGAACGAGAAAGCTTTGTCTGAGCACACACGCTGCTTACCTTCGTCTCGCTGCTGAGCAGCTTATATTCCGTCTCCTCGGTGTTTCCGAAGAGTGAATTCTTAAACATGCCAAACATGTCGCTTCGGCCAAGTCACCTCTCCTCTCTCCGCTCCTTTAGTTCTGTTTCTCCTCCCTCTCGCCTTTCTGTTTGTTGCAAACAGCTTGCTCTCTAGTATGGCAGTTTTTTTTTTAAATGTCGTCCCCCAACTCCTGGAAAAATCTTGAACTGCAAAAGGTAACTCACAGCAATATCCAGATGCTCCTCTCCTCCAGCGAAGAGCGCGCACTACGCTCCAGCGAGCACAGACTCACAAATGACTCTTTCTTTCTTTCTTTTTTCGGAGGCAGAAGTTGGAGATGCTTCCTCCTTTTCCAAACCAAGGAATGATTAAAAAAAAAAAAAATCATCCTCCGCTCTGAGTAGTTGACTGTCCCCGCCCTCTTCTCTCTCTCTCTCACAGGTTTTCCTCGTACAAGCTTGACGCTCACTTGTATCACCGCCAGTTTTCATTTACCATCGTTAACTTCATTTAATTGGAGAATCAATTTATCAACATGTCACCAATTTTCTACCACTTATTACTCCACGAACTACCAGGTTGCCCCCGCATACATACAATTATGCATTTAATTGCATAACCGTGAGATGCTGCATTATTATTAACGCCATCTCCTCAAACTCTCACCACGGAAAAGCAGAATGACCTGCAGTGCCAGGGTCTCCCTCATTCTGTCTGTTCCAGGAAGCCTGAAACTGTGGGGGGCTTTCTGTGCAGTATAATTTTTTGACACAAGCCTTTGGTTTGTCAGTACGCATTGGACCTTGATTGCTGGGCTGTGCGCGTGGGTTAGTTCGGGGCAGCACACGAGTGCACGTCTTACTCCGTGTGTCAACTGTGAGTTTGAGCTTTGCTTTAGGGTTTGTCTATTTAAATTCAGACTGAAGGCAATGTTAGTCACGACTGCAGAGTAAGGGAAACAGGAAGGATAGGATTTATGAAAAAGTGGAATGGATAAAACTAGCCAGAAAAACGATGTACTGTATGAGGGAACTGTTGACAGAGGGGCAAAGATCCGATGTCGCCCGGTTTGTGGACCTAAATTAATGGGAGAGTCCATGGGATGTCTTGTGTAGGCCTATTTAACTCATTATTCTCTTGCTGACAGTTTCAAAGAGCTCCTAATTTAACTTGAAGGTCAACCTGCTTATTTTCAGCTCCACGTTTTTATTCTGGGACTCCAAACAGTAGCTTAGTATGATGCACAGTTCATATCATTATCTTATACTAGGCCTCGGTCAGTGCCCTCAGTAAAAAACATTTGGCTCATAGATATTACTGACTTTAATATTTGAACATCGAGTACCTTGCAGGGCCAAATTTCAGTTTAGTTTTTGCGTAATTTGGCATAAGTCAGCTTTGTCATTCAGTAAGCCTGGAGAACTAGTTCTGAGAACTACTTAAAAAATGACAAGAAAACTGCAAGAGTGTTCATGCTGTCTTGAAGAATAAAGGTCATACAAGATATTTCTGTTGTATATACTGTATTTCTATGTGTTTGCACTTGCTTCAATAAATTACTACTCCCATTTCCCTAGAAAAATAAAGGGTGACTAAAGACTTTTGCACTGTTGCATGCACTCCCACCACCTTTTATTGAAATGAGGGCTCAGCCATCTTCACCATGCCTACATGCACTGATATGCTGCCATGTGACAGCCTGATTAGATATTTGCATTAACATCCAGTTCAACAAGTGTACCTAATGAAGTGTCCATTAGTGCCCATATGAGAAAAAATAAGGAAAAGTGTTATAGGGGCACTTTCATTGGCTATAAGGCAGTGATTAGGAGTTTTGAGTCTCTTAAAGATTTTTTTTAAAATCTGCAACATTCAGGATTCACTGCATACCTCGAAACCACATAAGGCTGAGCCATTGTTTCAAAAAGAGGGGGGAGGTTAGTTACTGGTTTAAAAAAAAGTACACAATATGCACTCAGATTAAAACTAAAAAAACTACACATTTATGTTACTTGTAAAATAACACACAGTGAGTAAAATAAGTCTTAGCAAAGTCTGTCCACTGTAAGCTTCATCAGCGTGCCATATTTTACATTGTGTGCTAAATATCCTAGCTGATCAGCTTCTGATGAAGTGTATTTACCGGCTCCTTAAGTACATGAAATCAAAATAAAGGACTTATTTAATTAACAGTTTAAATAACACAACGTGTTTGATGATGTATTTATATTGTATAAACATCCTTCCAGAAAAAGTGTCAAAATGATTCCTGTTTTAATAGAAATAACTCAAAAATAAAAATGTACTTACATTTATTTTTAATCATTGCATTTAAACACACACAGAGCTGTGGATTAGTAGTGGGGGCGATATATTAAATCAGATTTTAACCGCAGCTTACATTTTCACAGTACACTGATTTTTTCTACCTTTTGAACACAGGTAAAATAATCTCTCAGAAAGCTCACATAACATAACATAACTCCCAACCTGTCAAAGAGTTTGATTTACATGAGCTCGACTGTCCAGATGAGTCAAACACACACGACTCTTAAGATTTTAAAGACTGTTTGTCCAGTGTCCTCACTTCTCCCAGCCTTTGCCTCCTGGCTGGGTGGGCAACCTGAGCCCCACGAGACCAGCCACCTCTTCTGGGCTGCGCTCTCCCTTGCCATGGTAAAGATTGTGCAGGACCAGGTGGTTTCTAGTGGAAGCTAGTAAACACAGGTATGTGTGTGAGGCATGGTGCGCTTCCTGCTTGGCACGGCAGTACCTTTCTCCAGTCACCTGTGAAAGGTTGAATATAAAAGAAACAAATGGATGATAAACAATAACATAATAAGAGAAACTGTTCGTCTAGTGTTGCTTACAAAAAAAAAGTTACCATAAAGAAAATACAGATGAATAAAGTAGAAGGTACCCTGGAATCAGCATAGAAAATTGCCGCTTTATGATAAACAGGTATGCTTTCATCAGTCTGTGTGTGTGTCCCACCCCCTTTCAGGATTTCTAACAGCTGCATGGACAATATGCGTTTAGTTTAGTCCCCACAGACCAGCAGCTATACATTATAAAGCCTTGGGATGCCTTTAAAGGACGATAAATGCGAAACGACATACAAGCGTTCCTCCCAGCTGTTTTGCTTCAGTGACTGCAGATTCAAGCCCCATGTTAAGCCACACTCTCCCAACCATTAATAATACACAGTGTATGTCCGTACGGCTAAATATAGATAGAGAATCGCTTAGATGGAGATAACGTCGTCTGGACTGACTGCTTTAATGAAGCGAGTAGTTTCAGCAGCTTTGGTTCCAATTAACTTAAATGCAAAAGTATATGAATATCAGTAGATATACATTTGGTTTAAAAAAAAAATCCCCACAAATATATTTAACTTGGAGTTTTCCATGGAGTGAAAAACACTAACAATTTGAATCAACGACGATTTTGATGATTTTAAACGCGACACCTTAGGCTAATCAGCTGCTAGCTAACGTTTGCGTGCCCTTCTGCTTCAGTCACCTTGCTTACAGCTTTTAAGCACGTGTCAAGTAGACAACAACCACTTTTCAGCATCATGTTAGGCAACAGGTCGGTTAGCACTGCTGTAAACTGCTTAAATATGTCCTCTTAACGCCAATAAAACGAAACGGAACGTTTTCATTCAATAGTTATCAGGCTAGCCAACGACTGCCATGCGAGCCCAGTGCAGCAGTAGTTAGCAACTGAGCTAACATCAGGCTTTGCGCATTTACTGGTATGCTTACCTTATTCTTGCGAAACTGGTCCATAACATAGTTGTAAGCTAGTGATTTTTTGTAACTCGGTCCCTGAATTGCACGCAATTCTTTCAGGATTCCACGACACACTCGCAGGGGCGATGACAGCGCTGCCATCTTTGACCTGTGTTGTGATTGTAGCGGAGTGGAGCCAGGCATGCTAAATCACACACCGCACAGTCGATCTGTTACATATCGACCACAAGGCGGCGATATAGTTACACCTAAGTCCTCCTAAGTTGACTGCGTGGTCGTTTCCTCCTTGCCACTGGTTGTTACCCTGCAACAACTTAAGGTAACTTGGACTGAATTTAAAACACGCACGTTGGTAATGTCGCCTTGCTATGAGAAAATACATATGTAGGTATGGAGAGACGAGCTTATGTCCGGCACTGCTCGGTGTTTTCTTTATGAACCTTGGAGGATAAACACAACTTTAGCTCTTTATTGTCACACTGTGTACAATAGTATAACGAAATTGTCCCACATCGGTGCTTAAAGAAAAAGCAAGCATTAATCATAATAAATAACAGAAATGAGATATACAGCATATGCACAGATAAAAAAAGAGACCAGGTCAGGTATCTGCATTGGTTAGGGCTATTGCTCTGTTGTATATAGTGAAAACATAGAGTTCACTGTGTTTTATTGTATTTCCACAGATACCTGAAACTCTGTAAATGGTCATCACAGATCTGATCTTGACATGTCCATCTAAGTCTGGCCTATTGACAGAAAAACCTCTGCCACATTTTGAACCTGTTTCACATGCATTCCACCTCCAGCTTCATTGCAAGGTAATTATTCACCTATAATTTGGTAATATGGACCAGAAGGCTTTTGATGTTTTTGTCCACCATCGGTTTATAACGGTGCTTCATCACGCAGGAATCCTTTCAGAGAAAAGCAAATTTGATCTGTAAGACTGAGCACTGAACTGTTCTGTAAGTGGATTACAGTAATGCCGTGCCGTTGGGAGGCACGCTGCAAAACTGAGGCAGAGAACGTGTCCTCACAGGTTCTGACATCAAAGGTTTGGATGACCTGAAGTCAGGTCACGGGTGCTGCACGTTCCCATGGCGCTCCCAGTGCTTCCAGTTTACTTGCTCGTGTATTGATGATTGACTCTAGGGGGAGCCAGTCTCTTATCAGTTTCACACACCGGTTTGGTTCCTCGACATTTGTTGGAAGGCACCCCCTCTCCTCCTCCTCCACCTCCTCATGTCTCTCTCCCCCCTCTCTCTCTCTCACTCTCACACTCTTTCAATGAATACTAATGCAGTGAGTGGGCCCACCTCCCATCCTCCCATCTTTTTCGCAGGAATGGGCGGGAGAGGGGAGACAGAGCAATTCCAGCTCAGTATTCTTCCTCATGAGGTAGGCAGTGCTTGACTAGCAGCAACCCCAATGCCTTTTTTTCTTCCCGCTGAGCAATATTGGTGATACTGTGCGTTGCCACTGCAACAATGTCTAACCTGTGTGAGTGGCGTGTGATTTCTGACCAGAGTTGAGAGAAAGAAGGACGTCTGTGCCTGCTGCTTTTTTTCTTTTTCTATTACCCCCTCCTTTTTTTTTGTCATCTGGATGGGAAGTCTTTTTTGGGAGGAGAGAAAGAAGAAAGCAGAAGGCAGCCGGGGAAGGGGAACAACTGGCAACAGCCAATCCCCCCTTCCACACACAGACTGGAGACAACGGAGGCCACTGGAGTATTTGCTTTTATCTTTCGTTTTTTGTTCTTTTTTTTCCTCATCGCGCTGCTGGGAGGTGCTTTGCCTTTCCATTTGCTCGCTCTCTCGGTCCTCTGTCTTCTTATCTATTTCGCCATTTACCTGGTCAACAATTTCTTCTGTTTATGAGCGAGACAAGGAGGGAGAGAGAGGCAGAGGGACAGAGAAAAAGAGGACGGGGATTTTTTTTTTTGGCCCCTTTTATCCTCTTTTTTTCCCCCCTCCTCCCCTTCATTCATTCTTTCCTGCTTTCCTCTCCATTCGTATCACTTCCAGCCTTTCTATCCCTGTGCAGCCCACGCTCTCTCCTTCCTCAACCTCCCCCCTTTTTCCTCCTCCCCCCAACCCCACCACTCCAGTCACTGTCCACCCGTAACTTTGGCTACTTTTTGACTCCACCTGTTCTTTTTTTAAAATTTTTTTATTTCTTCGCTTTAAACAGCTCCAGTGGAGTCATTTTAATTGGCTTGCTTGTATTTTCTATTTATGCCTTTTTCACTTTTGTACCTTTTTCCTATTTTCCCCCCTTCTCTTTTTTCCTCCCACCATCCTATGCATCTTTTTTGGCCGATTCTTAATTCTAACCATAGGTAGGTCTACTTAGTGTTTAGTGTCTGTCTCAAAGTCTTTTGTTCCCTTTTTCCTTCCGTGTGTGCGAGGTGTTTTGTGTATGGGTGCACACCTGACATGCACACACATGCACGCACGTACACACACACGCTCGCTGGCCTCCGATCTAGCTTGGGCACGGCTCCCCTCCCATCCAGCTCTCAGCTGATTCTTGCCTCATGCCATGTCCTCTCTACGTCACCCCTCCACCCTACCCACCCACCCCCACCTCACTTCCATCTGTGTTTTCAGACCTGTTTTTTTTTTTTGTGTGTGCGAGTGTGTTCTTCTCAATCAGGACCACAGTGACTCATCAAGCAAGCACCTTCTCCGGTCGTCATCACGGACACGCGTCTTGATCGTCTTGTCATTTTCATGTTGTTGCACAAAAAGTCTGTTCTTCCATTAAAACATCTGAAGTGCCCCCCCCCCCCCCCCCCCCCCCCCCCTTCCCTTTTTAATCCACACACACGTACACAACGTCCTTCCTCACACCCTCACGTGATTATTCATTTATTAATTTTTTTAGCAGTCGTGCACATTGACAGACACCCAAACTCCACATCTGTTCATTAGAGGAAATGCCCGCTGGCAAACCAAGTTTTTGCTGGCTTCATGTGTATCAGGTGAAGGTCAAACTGAGCAAAAGGTCCGATTCAAGAGCGGCAGACGCACTGTTTGTGTCAAAGTACAATTCAAAGTCCATTCTGTCGGGGTGTCATCTGTGCTTATCCGGTGCTCTGCCTCCTTTTTTTTTGCTGCCCTCTTTTCCTCTCTCTCCTCCCTCCCTCTCTCTCTGTCTCATATCTTTCTGAACTGACTCTCATTTCTGCAGACAGACACACACAAGCACTCAAAGAGAATGGACTAAAAAATCAAAAAGCCTGGCTTTATCATCCAGAGGACTTTTTTCCCTTTTTTTTCTTCGCCATAATTTTCACTTTTTTCCACTCACCTGGCTTCATTCACCTCTCCGTACATCCTTTTTCCCCCCCTCTCCATCACCCCCACCCTCTCTGACTCCATCCACTTATTTATTCGTACGTTGTTCTGTTGTTGCTGTTTTTTCATTTGCCGTGTAAAGAAAAATAAGATGTATATACATATATATATGTATTCATGTCCTGCCACTCACACCTCATTGCTTGCATCAGACTTGCTAGATATTTTGCATTGGGACTGTTTTGACTGTTCACATTTACTGAAATAGAAAAGGCAGATTTTCCAGAAGTGATTTCCCCCCAAAAAATAATAACAGAAGATACAAGGCTTTATTGCACTACGCTACGAATAATTTGCGTGTGTGCCTGTGTGTGCTGTGCAAGCTACAGAGAGAGAGGCACAGAAATAGACAGATGCATAGCAAAGTAAAGAAAATCACATAACTCATTTCTTTGTCCATCTTCTTCTTCCTTTTTTTGTTTGGTATTTCCATTTTTTGTGCTGAAGGAGATTTAATGGTGCTCCTCTTCATTACACGAAGATGATGGGAAGTAGGACTTTCGAGCAACCACGATAAAGGCGTTCTGGATATAGATGTTTTCCTGTGGAATTACCCTTTAAATCCTGGATTAGATTCCAAATGACTAAAACAAAATAATTAACAATTATCCAAAAAAAACACAACAAACCCCAATACAAACAAAAAAACTGGTCTAAATTCTGGACTTTTTTTTGACCTTTTTCTCTCTTTTTTTTAAATGGACTGAAGCTGATTTCAATATTTCTTTTTCAACTATTGAATCCTAATGGGATTTCACTATCGCGGATTAAAGACTCAAGCAACGTCTTTGTCAATTAGCTGATGTAATAGCCTTGATTCTCACAATTTCTCCATCCTTCCAAATCGCATTTAACATTTCTCAGTGTTAAGGGTTAAATAGGTGAGTACGGACCCTTGAATCCACCCATGCTCTTGCCTTTGCATGTCTTGGATGATTATGAATGGATGTAGATTTTCATATATATATATATATATAGATATATATATATATATATATATTTATATTTATTTATTTATTTTTGTGAGTGACCCACTGTTTTGCGTGTGTGTGTGTGTGTGTGAGGGTGTGCAGACTCGTCCGGGATGTGTATGTACAGTAATAAGGGTGAGGTAGAATTTAAAAGGATACAGGCGGATTACCAGAGCTCAGTCATTTTCCTCACACTTCACCACCGTTTATCCTTTGTAGTATTTTCCCCTTTTCCAGTTAAAGTCTGGTTAAAAAAAAAAAAATTCTCATGTAAAATATAAATCCCCTTGATGCAGAGTGTGGGATGATGTAAAAACAACAAAAAGAAAAACTTTACATGCTGAAATAACATCCCATCTTTCACCTTGGGTTTTGCACCTCCACTCTTCTTTCTGCTCTACCAAATCTGTTCAGTGCTGCTCCACGCTCTTCTTTAAAACAGCGTGCGTTAGTGTGAGAGGAATATATACGTAGATCAATAAAGTAATCTACCTGAAGAGATGGACTGCGCTGTGCTTTTCTTGGTGAATTTTTTAAAATTTTATCTTCTGTTACTCCAATAAAATGCTTTGTGGTGGGAGAATGACTAAATCTTATCTTGCGGTTGACAGTGGCCGGAATAAAATTTGACTGTATGTCTGCAGCAAAATGCACTTTCACATCGACTCTCTCCCTCACACAATCACACAATCACACACACACACACACACACACACACACACACACACACACACACACACACACACACACACACACACACACACACACACACATGCAGACACCTGGGATCTGCTCTCACAACCCAGGACGATTACCTATTCTGCTTGGTGCTGAAACACATGTGACCTCAGTAGCCGAGCTACAGATGGGCACTTAAGCTCAGGTAGTCTGTCAAAGCTGTCACAGCCACCACGCTGCAAAATGGACGTCTCTGGCGCGAGCTCTGCCTCTGACAAGTGGCTCGCTGCTGTCGTTGCTTTTGCTGTAATGTACCCCGAAACAGTGTTTAGAAACAGGTAGAAGCACACTTTCAGACGCACTGGTGTTGACCCGGCAGTGTGTGGTTCAGGAAGGCAGTGATGTGAATGTTGTGTACGGTGGTCAAAAACAGCTGATTTGAGCTGTGATTTTGAGAGGGAATGCAGACGTCTACGAGCACAGCTGGATGGTGGATTGAGCAATTGCTTGGAGCACGTTTACAGCTGAGCATCCTTTCTATTTAAATATGGAGAACTGCTCTTTTTTTCTCCGGATCATTTTCTTACTTTTACGATAGACGTATGCTGTTCCTTCAGATTGTTAGATTATGGTTTAAACCTTATTTCTCTTCTGCTCTGCAGTGTATTTTATCCATCTAGATTGTTTTAGGGGGCATTGGAGGAGGAGGCTTTCTTCTGTGTAGTGATAATGCTTGATGGATGTTGACAGCGGAAAGAAAATAGGTCCTACATGAAAGTAACTGAAACCTGCTTTGTTTCCTTCGAGTAGCCAGGTCATGATTAATGTTTAGTCTTTTTAATGTAATTTTTGCAAACTAGCCTCATTATGTTCAAGAGATGGAAAAAAATCTTACACCAAAACAATGGAGATGAATAAGTAGCATTAAAGGGCAGATGAAAAAGGCATGCATTAGATTTCGAGGTGACTTGTCCCTTTTAAGGTTCTCTCCTCGTTCATTGTCACCTATTTCGCTCGTTACCTGAACAGGTGTGTCTTAATGGTTGGTGGCTCTAGGACATTTTTCATGCATCCTGTCAAATTTTTGGTGTCTGAAACTGTGCGATGCCACAGGATCTATGTGGGGAAAAAAGTCTGCAGAACATCTTGAATCAGAGCTTAAGAGATTTCACAGGCAGCGTGTTTGCAGTCATCATTTATAAACAGGCCAGGAGAGGAGACAGCAGGGGCTAAGGAGATTCATAATCCTATCCCCTCTTCCCACTGATTCTCTCTCTCTCTCTCTCTCTCCCCCATGTGCTTGCTTAATGAGACAACAATGCAACTCCTGCGTCTGGCTCCGAGCGCTGCATCTGCCTCAACGAAGCCAGCAATAACAGTGTTTAGATACGTTACAATCCAGCTAACTTCCGCATGCATGCCATCTAGGGATTTACAGCATCACGGGGCACCGCTTGCATGTTACCCTGTGCTTCAGAAGTCAGAACCTAAAAATATGCAGAGATGATTTTGGATTTTTGAGTTACAAGCTAAAAAATAATAATAAAAATCTTGGATTCACACGAGTGTGATTCTGCAATACGGCACCTCACCTCATCCATCTTCTGGGTATAAATGAGGGAATCAGTCTGCGGAGCTCCATCTAAAGCTCGTAACACTCTGCGGCGCGTGCGTCTGAATCCCGAGAGCGAGCGGGAAGACTATGTGGGACGACTTAAAAAGCACATCTCAATTTTATTGGCAGTATATTCACTTCAAGGGAGCGGAATATGGGTCATGATCTGATATAAAAAGGCTACTCAATAATTCATCCTCTGATTAAGAGGACTTGTATCGACACAGACGCCGTCCAACGAGAAGGAGAGTGTGCACACAAAGTACACGGAAGAGCATTTAGGCGACTTTGTAGGATTAGTATAAGCTCAGAAACAAGCTATAGTAGAATAAAAAAAAGCCAGAGAGGTTCATGTGTACACCTTCTTTGATGTCTTAATCTGCTATACGTTCTTGCCTTCTGTGGCACGCAGGTGCGCATGCGATGAGTGTGCTTTAACGGCGAGCGTACATGGTGTCAGAGTTTGTGCGAGGCCCATCAATCTATTAAATATGAAAAGTACAATCTGTTACCCCGCAGAGACTGGTTCATTATTCATCAACATATTTCAATTAATCATTTATTTACCTAAAGTATGGTTCGCCCCCCCAACACACACACATATGCAATTTGGACACTCATATGGACTCCTGATGTATGAGTTATGTATAAGAGGATTAACAGAAGCTGTTTCTTATTCCTGCGATGCTGCACATACTGTAGTTTGAGGGTGTTGTTAGGGATGTAGGAGAAGACATTTTTTTGTACTGCAGTGCATTTGGAGGAAATGTGTTATTTAAAATATTAGGCTTGGCTTCCTCTCGGATCAGAGAGCAAACACGCACACGCTTTGCTGAAGATGAGCTGTGAGATGCATTCAAACAGGTTTCCATTCAAAGCTGAGAGTTATGTCCAGATGTGCACATGAGCACGGCAGCTCTTGCATTTTGAGTTCCCATCATTTAATCGGGTTTATTGATTCTAAGGGGAGCGGGTCAGAGGTCGACCAGGCGTAGCAAGGCTTTATTAGAGTCTAACTGACTGTGACCTGCTTCTAACCCGCTGTCCTCTCTTTTCCCCTCTGCAATAACAGACTGGCGGTTGTCGGGAAGACGAGCGACTCCAAACATCTTTCCAGAGGAACAGAAGTGAAGCTGCTCCTGTGGAGTACAATTACCTCGAAATTGCTGCTTTACCCCCTTGACCCAACGAGGATTTTACCTAAAACCGCTGTGAGTTCCCGGTGCCAGCTCCTTGTCACACAGTCACCGCTGAAGGGATTAGGATGCGGAGGGGGGGCGGAGATAAATGCTCAGCATCGGCGCCTTGATTTTTAATCTTACCCTTCCATTCACGAACATCTGTATTTACTTCGGCAAACCCCACACACCTAATGAGGTGTCCTGGTAGAGAGTAAAACACATTTGTTTGATTAAGTGCAATTGGTTTAGCCAAAGACAAACCTGCTGGTAGAATGACACCTGAAAATAATGAAGGGCTACTTTATTGTCCGGTTGTGAGTTAATTAAACTCGTCTTTCTGTTAACCGGCTAATGACTTTGTCATGTGGTATCAATCCAGGTGATTAGTTATGCCAATCACAGGGAGAAATTCTTTTCCTTTAACGTGGAGTGCTGTTTATCCGTCTAGATTGTTGTCCTTTTCTGGAATTAAATGGCACTCACCTCATGTTTGCCACGCAAATAAAAACTTTATGCAGCTTTTTCAGAAATCACAAAATCCACAAACCTGGACGTGAGCGGTTTCATGTGGGGACTATATTCTTTCCAGCCAGCACACCTGCCAAACATCACTGTGCAGGAGGAAGTGCGCTTCTACCTGTGAGTAGAAGCTCCTGCTTGTGACAGCAGGACAGGATGTAAACATTAATAGCGTCCCCCCCCTCAGCTGAGCCGTGATGTCAGCTAGCTGCACTCCTCCGTCGGTTGGCAGATGTAGATGCGGACACTAGAATGCAAAGAAAGTTCCTACGTGAAACTGTTCACAACAAGATCTGGGGATTTCTGTTTTTCTGGACAGAGGACAGTACGCTCAGGAGAAGGCAAACATGGTATCTACAGAACAGAGCAGCTCACACCAAAACCATCTAGATGGATAAATGATATTGTAGCACTACTGTAAAAATATGTAAACTTGATTTTGGGGTGAAAGTTGTTTTTAATGCTGTGTTTATTTGTCCACAAGAAAAGCTTTCGGTGCTCCTCAGATCTGATTCAGTTTAATGTAATTGTGTAATTTTTCCACAGGGATAACATTTGTAATCATTTCCTGTCACTTCCCGCTCTATTCCAATTTTTCGACCGCTCTGCATCATCACGGCCTGTTATGAGAGGCAAAATCACGGGAAACCCTTGAGGGGGAGACTGTCATCACCCTCAGGGACAAGTTGTGATAACCCAGAATGCAGCACTGTTTATGTACAGTCAGGAAAAAGAGCTCAAAATTAGTTTTTTAACAGCAGCCACTCACATTCAATAATCATATTGTCTTTTCTCTCATGTTGACTTTAGTTCGGCCTCCCTCAGTCTGAGGCTATGAGAGGGAGAGAGGAGTCCCAGGCCGCACCATCATGCTACTTCTGAGACGCTGGGATGAGACTTTGGCTGGCAAAACACAAAGTAAGACAATATTGATGCATGGGGCCTCTTTACAGGTGGAGCTCTTCTTAGTTTTCTCGTGTTGTCCCCGTAGAGAACCGCTGAAACAAACCATCTTATCTCGGCTGTGTGTGCCTCTCCTAACGCTCAATGATGGATGTTCTTAAACTTCTGTAGTGTGTGTTTTTTTATTGCTTCGTATCTTATGCCAGGTTTGCTTGCGGGTCAGGATAATGGTTCAAGGTGGAGCTTGCAGATGAATGGTTTAATCCTTGGTTTTTAGCACAGTGTGCACTTTGATCAATGGCACGCGTCAGCACGTGGTCGTTCAACCCGACCCCGCCCACCTCGATCGACTATCGGCCACGTTTACACTCCACAGGCATTGATCAGGCAATTAAAGGTTTTGTTAAATTCGTTTTTTTGGTTTTTGTCGTTTGTGTGTGTGTCAGCTGTTCTCATGTTTTCACGCGCTGCATGTTTGTGGACGACAGAGAGAAAGATGAAAGAAGACGTCGTTCCCACTCTCACCCAGGACCAGATTACACAGAGCAAATGTTTTTACCACCAGGGGCAATGAGAGGTCATCATCATATCAGTAGATTTCAACATTTTCTCATCCATTACTCCTCAGTAACTTTTTTCTTCTCTATTTCTTTTTCGTCTCTCTCATCTCATGCACTGTTAATCAGCGGTGACGTTAGGAGACTGAGCCTTGGTGCAAATTTAGTCTCCTCGTTTTGTGGTGGGATGGAGTGTGTGGACTGTGTGAGCACACTACAAACAGCACCATTACACAGGCACTCCTCTACACCTTTAACCTGCTGCCTTTTAGCCAGCAGCAGAGCAACGGCGTGGCTTTGTAACAAAGAGCTTTAGCTTTAGCCTCGGCCCTTCAAGCATCAAGTCGCTTATCTGCTTCGGCTAATGCCACACAGATATATTAACAGCGATGATGCATCTAATTAACAACAACGCGCCGCTGTTTCTGATTAAAAAAAAAAATAGCATTCACACGTACACTGGCAGATTATTAGTCTGCTGGGCTTATTATTCGAGCGTGCTTCCTGCTCTTACATAAACTGTTTAGAAAAAAAGGCTCTGGCTGGAATAATGGCCTAAATGAGGACATATTAGAATAATAATGTCTCATGAGTTTTTTAAAAGCTTTATCTCCAACCTTTGTGTACCTAACCTAAATGGGATTCTGGCCCCTCGTTATATCGGCGCCGTTCAGCGCCGCTAATTAAGTGCTGCATAGCTTTTCAATCATTTTTTCAGTCAAATCCATTTAACAAGAGACTTTTTATTTAGACTCAAAGAGCCCACGTCACCAGTCTTAAATGAAAGCCGCAGTCTTTGACGTGTTAAATGCAATTTGAACATTTTTAGGGTCAGCCTTCTTCTCTCTCTGCTAATGTACGGAGTGCAGTTAAAGGTAGATTTCGGCGTTGAGGTGTAACAGTAAGATAAACGTTGTCTTTCTCCTGTAATCCTGGTATTACAGTCTTTTGCTGAACAGGCCATTATTGCGATCACCTTATTTTTACTGATATAATTTTTTTTCAACCTCTCTCTGTGTCTTTTCTAAATTGGAAGAAATTCAAGAGTCAGGAAGCTTCTGATAAAGAGAAGCTCTCACAATAAGAGACAATAGGAGGAAGAGAAGAGGGGAAGTGTTTTGGTAGTTGTTTCTGGGGATGTGGAGTAGAAGGTAGAAAAGAGCGCAGCTTTTTTTTATTTTTTTGCGCCTGTGCCGCTGTCTATTTTGTTTTTTCACCTCGTGTGAAATTACACAGCAGTGCGTGTGGGCATCTCATTGCATCAACAGCTCGCACTGGCACGTTTCCCTTTGTAATGAATGCCGGTCACATTGTTAGTTTAAAGCGTCACTGATGCTCAGTCCGCTTGCAGTCGAGTAAACTTGGAAGCTACAGAAACTCAGTCATGCAGGATAAATGTCTCAGGTGTTTAGCTGTCTCAGAGTAATGCGATGCTACATATATTAGCATTAATTAAAATTTGACCGCAAGATCACATACATGCTTGACCTTAAAACACGGCAAAGATCCATGCGGTGGAATCGATTGCTTTGAGAACCAGCAGATCAATGCGGCTTCACTCATCCTTGTCTCCAGCGGTGGAGCGGTAGCATAAGTCACCTGGAAAACGGCCTGCGGATCCAGTCATTAGCTGCTGCACATCCAACATTTGCTTTGGTGGCATCTGTTATTTTCTGGCACGTCCTCAGATGCTGCTGTGGGGAGGCTTCAGGTGCTGTCAGTGTTTGTGCTCCAATTTTTTGGACTGAACAAGTGCTGAAACTGTTAGTCGATGTTCAAGATTTGAATCTGTGACAAATGATTAATTGTTTACATGGTTTTCAGTGTCAACATATAGCACAGCTGCTTTTTCTGTTTTAAATGCCTGCAAATTAAGTAATTCAGGCTGCTAAGTGTGAAAAGCTAACAATCTGATGATGTCGTCCTGTGATTTGTGTGGGCATGGGCAGATTCCTGATTTTTATAGACTAAAATAAAAGTCTATCTTACTTGAAATGGCTCAGGTGATTTGGCTATGACTCCCAGCTAATTCAGGCCAAATCAGTAGGATTGACATTGTTTTCATGCTCCTTCATTTATTTTCTTTAATGTCATCCAGTGTGTTAATTCATTATTTTGTACTTGTTAGAGTTTGTTTCCTTTAAAGAAAGCAGGGAACATAAAAGACTGTACATAGAAGATGAATGGAAATGTGACCAGAACCTTACAATCCGGTTGTTCAGTGATGACGCGACGAATCCTACTTCCGGGTCTAAAGTAGTCTGCGTTTAATATGGCTTTTGTGTTGTTAACATGTTTAATGTTATGTATTTTCTTCTATTTGATCTCAAAAAGCTCCTAAAACAGTCAGTGATCCCTGTTGACCTCCCTCGGCTTTTATTACCACTAATCATTTATTTAAGCTCAGTTTTTAAAACCTTAGGATGTAACTACAGCCCAGCCCATGCAGCAGTATATGAATGACTAACCTCGTATTGTGGATGGATTATCTCAGTTGTTCTCCTGGCTGAAGTTTGGTCCTTTTACAGCATCCTGCCATGCGATTACATTTGTTCCTGACCACCGACAACACTCACGGTAACTTTTATCGAGTGGAAAAAAAGTTAGCTTGTTTATATTATGCTAACATAGCTGTGTCGCTAGCGGTCACGTAGCACATCATTATATACCAGCTAGCCAAACTTCAGTAACCCTGCAAACGTCACTGCTGTTTAGTTTTCTGTCTTGGAAGTGATAACAGAGCTGTACGTTTTAATTTGTTTCCAAAACCCCGCAGTCAGGACATGATTTATTGTATTTAGATAGAAGCTAGCGAGCTAACTTCCTGCTAACTTCTAACTCCGTTAAATGTCATAAATTCCGTTTTCATGGATGCCTGGATGTTAAACTCAATTGTTACACCTGGTAGAGCAGAACGCTGATCATTTTATTAAAGATGAAAGACTTTAGACAGTTTTTCAACTCTCAGTAATGCCATAGTGATCGTTTGATATATGGACCTGCAGCGGAGTTTAGACCCAGACACGCCTAGTGACGTCAGACTGAACAACCGGATAGCTTTTGATACCAAAATTCTGAAAATGTGACAATGTTTTGTTTTGTTTTTGTTTTTTTTAATTGTAGTTTTGTAAGTAGCATCTTGCTTACCTGAAATGTAAATTAGCTTTTTTTTAGCTAGCTAAAATTGCTTTGGCTAAAATGTTTGCAATGGTTAGCACTTTATACATGCTTAAGCTAATTTAAATTAAGGCTACTTGGAAATATCCTAACATTTCAGTCTGTGTCCTGTTAACAGAATAAAATGTTGACATTTCAAAGAATGGTCTTCCATTACCATGTCAGTGATTTAAAATGACTTTTCTGGTTTCTTTGGCAAAGCAAACCTGTTTAGCACAACAGTACAAGCCAAAAGCTACATGCTAAAGAAGCAGAAAATACTTTTTAGCACAAAAGTTTATGCCTAAGCACATAGGATACAAATTGTGTAATTCTCCTGGTGTTAATACTGACTAGGCTACTAAATTTCTGGTCCATTCGTTTGTTGACTACCGTTTTAAAGGTCCAAGTAATGCTAATGCTAGCTAGCTAGTATGGTTAGCAAGGTCATTCCTACATAATTTGGCTAGTAAAAAAAAAAAGAGGCTTAAAACAAAAGTGACACCTTAGTGTGTTTTAAGTATATAGTGAACAAGACAGTGAGGGCCAAATTTACTAAATGCTGAAAAATAGTGTGTCAGCACAATCCCCAAATAGCGCTCATAGGTGTGGTTAGTGTTATGAGTGGTTTACAAAAGTGTGTTGTTTTGTAAACACAGGTGCAGGCAGATCATTTTGATATCAAACAATTCACTGTCTTTTTCCCTAAATTTTACAATTGTCTGTGAATATTTGTATTAATATTAATATTATGCTGTAATCCTGTCTTTCCTGCTGCCCACATGTGCAAATGTGTCCACGTTTCCTCAAGTTTTAACTGTAAGCTTGAACAGGTATGTGACCAGCGCTCTATAAGAGCAGCTGTGCGCTCCGTTTTCAGCTGACTTGTTGTTTCACCTAGAGGTTGTGTTGTAGGAGCGTGTGACTTATTTGTTTCGGCGTGTGAATGCCACAGGTCAGCATCTTTATGCAGCCACGATAGACAGGAAGCGCTTGTGCTCGTGCTTTGAGGAGTGACATGTGGGTGTTGCAGCTGAAAGATGAAACGCACAATCATTTGTATGCTGCAGATTGACAGACCAGTGAGACAGGGAAATTCATATATTTCCGGGGTTTAAAATGAAAGGGGAAAAAAACCTGTTTGCTCTTAGAACATGTAATGACTGAATCTGGGTTTTACATGACTTTATCCAACTTGGTGTCATCCCTGATTTAAAGGCAGCCACTAGGATCCTGCTTTAATTTGGAATAATAACACCTATGTCCTAGTGTGTGATTAATCCGATACTAAGAGATCTGATT